GGTATAACGGCAACCGGCAAAACGGCGTCAAACGAAACCTAAGGGAGCGGGTGAGAGCCCTCCGAGCATCGAAAGGCTAATTAACCTTAATTAATCATTAAGCTTCCTTCGGCCAGCGTGGGGGAAGCCATTTGTGAGGAGAAGGGGTGGGGGGGGGAACCCATCCTCCTCCATCAAAACACGAAACGGCGTTGAGTTCCTTGGCGCCGGCGCCTTCTTCCCAGCTTCTACTGGCTTTTTAACGTCTCTTTAAATTATAAATCAAGGCTCGCAGAGGTAGGAACTGAGGGAAAGTCACCCCCCACCCACCCAACGGAGGCTGAACGGCTGAATACCGGTTGTTTAAAATCCCTCGACCAAGTTTATTCGGCTGCGAGATGACGGCACGTGGGTAAAAGCGCCCAAATCTCAGCCCCGGAGCAGCCCCACAGCCCGGATCCTCTCCCCGCTGCGCCGGTTCCGAGCCCTCCGTCCTCTTCCCACCTTGAATTTGCTCTTCACATCCCTCCTGTTCGCATCCAGGGATATGGAGTTCCTTGCCAGGGCGATTTTTTTTCTTTTTTTTTTTTTTTTCTTAACTCACTGGTGCAAACGCTTCCTTTGGGTTTTATACCGTAACGACGACAGCGGCGGGGTTTATAAATAACACAGCAGCGATGCCGTTTCTCCCTGTCTTTTATCAAGCTCCTAATACCCCGCAGGTCGCTTTTTCTGCAGGGATCGTTCATAATTCATCCCGAAGCCGCGTTGATACAGACCTGTTGACGTGTTGCTCTTCCCAGGTTCCCTTCGTCTCCGCTTTCAGCTGGCTGGGAGATCCGATGCCCAGCATCTCTTTTTCCTCCCGCTTTTAAATGCTTTTTAAGTATTTCATCGGTTCTTCAGGTGTAAAAATGAGATGAGAAACGGCGACGGGATTAAAAACACCCTAAATGTGCGTTAAATCGTCCTCTACGAGCGCTGGTTTCTCCCTACTGCCAACCGAGTGAGTCTGGATGAACAACTCGGAAGAGTTTAGGCAGCTAAAAGTGATTCCTGAGAAAGATTCCGTTGGATTGGTGACGTTACCGAGCTGCCTGAGAGCTGGGATCTTCCCTTCACCTTGCAGAACTATTAATAAATGAAAAGCCCCCCGCATGTTGCAGCTTTAGAGAAGTTTTGTCGCGGATTTTTCCCGTTATAGGGTATAAAAATGAATTGAGTTCTCGCATATTTGGGGGTTTATAAATAAACCTCAGGCGTAGCTGGCTCAGCTTCCAACCAGCCCCTTTATTTTTAATCCTCTGCGGGTTGGGAATCGTACGCTTCCACGCGAGTGGGTTTTTGAGGAGAGCGCCCTGCACAGTCAGGCCTTGCGTAGGAGCGTGTGATACATAGATTTAATTTAAATACTTTGTGATTCCAGCAGAAAACAAACTTCATTCTCCCCGGATCAAGTCTTTTGCTGACATCAGTGGGGGAAGCCTAGACTTCTTCCCAAACGAATTGCCTCCTGGGTCCCATTTTTTTTTTTTTTTTTTTAATTTTTGCGGGTGTCAAACTTAATTCCTCAACGTTTCACCTTAGACTGAATGACCTAAATCTCTCGAGGTTGCTCCGTCATCTCCGGATTCGCTCTCTGCTTGTACACATGTGCAGAGAAAAACAATTCCCAAGCTTTTCCCCCAGCTCAGGGAGCGCTGTCTCGGGAATCGGATGGGAACCAGGACGCATGGCGCGCTCAGCTCAGTAAAATTCACCGCTTGGTCCCTTCTGAGTTGTTTGGTTTTTTTTTTTTTCCCCCTGCTCTGCGCTTTATTTCGTGTTTATTTTCCCAAGAGAAGGCGGCGATGATTTATTCCGCTGAGTTTTTCCCTCCTTGGGGATGTTTACGGACGCGCCGCAGGACCGATGGATACAACCTCTGCTCGTTGGCGCCGAGTCATCAATACCCCAACGTCTCATCGAGTGGTGTTTTTTGCTTTTTTTACGTAATATTTTGGTTTCAAAATGAGATGTTGAACTCTTAATTACCACGTTCTTTAGTGGTACCGAAAGCTTGAGGTCTTTGCTTTGAAAACTTGAGGTCTCTGCTTAACCCAGGTTTCTTCATTCCTGGAAAGAACACCACAGTCGTGGCGATACCTGTGCAAACGTCACGTGCCCGGCGTCACAGCGAGTCACGCGCCAACGTGCAGGGAACTTAAAGGCAGGAAGCTTTATCCTATAGAATCTGGAGGCACAAAGAGGTGGGAGTCTTTTTTTTTTTTGGCTGAAAAACATTGTGTTTCAGGCCGAGCAGCCTCCGTTTTCCTCAAGGTTTTGTGCTGGGGCCAGGCTATTTTTGCTGCCTGAACTAACGTAGCCAAGGTTTTATCAAAAACGGCTTAAAAATGGAAGGAGAGGAGCTGGCTTTTGATCCGATGCCTGCGTGCGGTCGAAAGCATGAGGGCTGCTGCTATTTATGGCGTCGCTGGGTGAGAAACCCTGCGACCTGCCCGGAGAAAAGCTTCCCTGTGCTGCCTTCGCTTTCTCTTCCCGCTTTTCTCCGGCTACGAGCGTGCCCGGAGTCGGGCGTCGAGCTGGAACGATGCCTGTGACAAACTGGAGCTTTGGTGGCACTCAACCCGACGGCGTCTTCCTTTGCAAGAGGGGAGCTGACGTGCTGGAGGAGGCGAGCGCTCAAATTGAGCCGTGGATTTAAAGCCAGGCTTTGGGGCGGCTGCGGTCAGTGGATTGAAGGTTTTAGCCTTAATATCTGTCCTCTGTCTCGAAAAAAAAAAAATGTGGAAAACCACATCCCAGCACCGTCCCGCTGGAAAGCGACGCCGAACGGCGAGCGACTCGACCTGAAAAAGCCGACGGTGAGAAAGGAAACGACTTGGTCGTGGGGTGTCTGATTTGGAGAGGCGTTTGCGTGTTGCAGTTCCTGTTTTGCTGGCGCTGCGGTTTCCAGAGGTCAAAAATACGGTGGTAACCGTTTCGCCCGCGATTCCTTTAGGTTCTGCGTGCCGAAGGTGGTTGCCCACCACGAAAATAAAGGAGTTAGGAGGGAGAGGGGTCCTGTAGGTCCTTGGTGGGTGTTGGATGGGTTCGTGCTGGGGGCTGTTTTGTAAAATCATGGGTTGTCTCCAGAAATAGAAAATCTTGGCAGAGTTGGGGGTTGTTGCAAAAAAAAAAATAAGAAAATATTTTGGATAATTAGGGGCTGCCTCCAAAAATAAAAAAAAGAAAAGCTTTGCAAAATTGGGGGCTGCCTCCAAAAAAAAAAAAAGAAAAGCTTTGCAAAATTGGGGGCTGCCTCCAAAAATACCTAAAAGCTTTGTAACATCGGGGGCTGTCGCCAGAAGTCTAAAAGTTTGGCAAAATGGGGGGCCACCACCAAAAATAGAAAAGCTTTGCAAAATCGGGGGCTGTTTCCAGAAACAGAAAAGTTTGTCAAAGTTGGGGGTCGTTGGCAAAAAAGCAAAGTTTTTGGCCAATTGGGGGCTGCCTCCAAAAAATAAAAGCTTTGTAAAATAGGGGATTATCTCCAAAAATCGAAAAGTTTGACAGAATTGGGGGCCGCTTCCAAAAAACATCAAAGCTTTGCAAAATTGGGGGCACCTCCAAAATAAATAAAAGCTTTGGAGAATTGGGGGTCCTCTCCAGAAAATAGAAAAGCTTTGTGAAATTGGGGGCTGCTGCCAAAATCATAAAAGCTTTGCAAAACTGGGGGCTGTCTCCAGAAGTCGAAAAGTTTGGCAAAATTGGGGGCCACCACCAAAAAATAGAAGTTTTTGCAAGATCAGGGGCTGGCAGCAAAATTATAAAAGCTTTGTAAAATTGGGGGCTGCCTTCAAAAACACAGAAAAGCTTTGCAAACTTGGGGGCTGTTTCCAGAAATAGAAAAGTTTGACAGGATTGGGGGCCATTTCCAAAAACTAGGAAAGCTTTGCAAAATTGGGGGCTGCCTCCAAAAAAGAAAAGGTTTTGCAGAAGTGGGGGCTGCCTCTGAGAAATATTTTGTGAAACTGGGAGCTGATTCCGAAAATAGAATAGCAAAACTGGGGGCCACCTCTAAAAAATAGAAGGGTTTGGTGAAATTGGTGCCTTCAGGTGTGGAAAAGCAGGGTGAACCTTAAAAGAAGGAAGGGGGTGGGGGGGATTTTTGGGCTTGTGCAGCTGGGGAAAGTTTGGAGGGAGCTGGGGTTGCTGAAGGGGAGGGAAAGTGTGGGTCTGGGGGGGGAGGCAAGGCCAGGAAAGAAATGGGGAGAAATTTGGGGTGATAACAGTGGGTGTCGAAATAATTTGGATCCATAGGAAGCCGCTGCTTGTGAACCAACTTATTTTATCAGAATAATAAATAAAGATTTTAAAAAAAAAAAAAAAAAGCTTTTCCCGCAGAGAAGCGGCAGCCAAAAGGCTTGGAAATGTTTTCAGCCAAACACCCGGCGTGCATCTTTGGATTTCAAACTGGAATTTCGGTGATCTCAAGGTTTCGTTGCGGCGCGGAGCTTATTTATCCGCTGCCCTTTGTGCCGATGAAGGTGTTTGCCAAGCTCTTGGCAGCTCTTCCAGGGATCTCTGCGGTGCCGGGGATGCGCATCCCACCCTGGAAACTTGGGGAAAAGGTTTTAAAATTGGGAAACGATTTATTTTGGTGAGAAAACCAGATCACGGCGGCTGCTGGGAACTAAAAGAGCTGGTGAAGTCGCCGCCGGGAGCTCCCGTGTGTCGTGGCCTTTCGCTGCGTCTTCCACCCGGACAAATCCTTCCTCGTGCCGCTGTTTCGGAGTGAGAGACCAGACCGAAGCCGCCTCGTTAGCGTGAATCTTGTAATTAATGAGGAAAAGCGGGAGGGAGCTCGATGAATTTTATTGGCTTGTCTAATAGCGGTGGTCACCTTGGATGGCGTACGAGGATATCCGATATTCCCTAGGAAAACGGACGCTTCTGCTAGCGTAACGCAACGAAACGGCCCGGCTCGACGCCGGTTGGGTTCTTCGGATGATTTCTCCCACGGATTTTCTCCTGTATAAACGTCGCTTTGCCCCGTCGTTACCTCAAGCACCTCTGAAAACCGATTTCTCTTCCAAAACATTTTCGTTGGTTTTTTTTTTTTTTTTAAATTCAAAACATCTCCTTCAGATTGCTGAATGAATCCGAAATAAAGCAGCGGGCCAGCGTCAGGCGGGGTTCCCAAACAATAAAAAGCGCAAGTGCAGCTCTAATTTAAGATTTTTATTATTTTTAGAGTCATTTAAGGGAAGAAACAAACCCCGGGATAATGGCAGAGGCGATCCTTCTAACAGCTCCCTTCTTTTTTTTCTTGCAGGTTATGGCACCTGGAACACTGGGGCCACCAACACTCAAGGTGAGTTGTGCGTCTATAAAAAAAATAGACTTAGGAAATCGCAATTTTAGCGTAGAATTTAGGATTTTTCTCTTCTTTGTAGCCAGAGTAGCGTCCTATCACAAGTAGCTCCTGAGATTTATTAGCGCCGCAGAATGAAGCGTGTCCTGGGGTATTTGGGATTTTAGGCTTGCTCCTTTCAACTCCTTTCCAGCCCAAACAACAGCAGGAGCGGGGAGATGCTCCTCAAGTGTGGGTTGGATGAGGGGACAGGGAGATGGATGGGGAACTGCCATGGGCTCAGAGGGTTGGGATCGGCGGGGCAGGGTCTGGTTGGAGGCCGGGAGCTCGTGGAGATCCCCAGGGCTCAGGACTCGGCCCGGTCTTGTTCAACTCATTCATCCATGACCTGGATGAGGGGACAGAGTGGACCCTCAGCAGGTTCAGTGATGAGACCAAACTGGGAGGAGCGGCCGATCCGCCGGGAGGCTGCGCTGCCGTCCAGCGGGACCTGGCCAGGCCGGAGCGTTGGGCGCAGAGGAACCTGATGAGGTTCCACCAGGGCCAAGTGTTGGGGGCTGCCCCTGGGGAGGTTGGACCCCAGGCACCAGTCCAGGCTGGGGGCTGCCCTGCTGGGAAGCAGCTCTGCCCAGAGGGACCTGGGGGTCCTGCTGGCCGACAAGGTGGCCATGAGCCAGCAGGGTGCCCTGGTGGCCAAGGGCGTCCTGGGGCGCATCAAGAGGAGCGTGGCCAGCAGGGCGAGGGAGGTTCTCCTCCCCCTCTGCTCTGCCCCAATGAGACCCCACCTGGAGCTCTGCGCCCAGTGCTGGGCTCCCCAGGTCAAGGAGGAGGAGGAGCTACTGGGTTGTTACCCAGCAAAGGGTGCGCCCACGCAAGCCATGGGCAGCCAGTTTCTCCAGCAGAATGCCATGGGAAACGGTGTCAAAGGCTTTGCTCAAGTCCAGGTACGCCACATCCGCAGTTTGGCTTGTGCCATAAGAGCAGCAGAGGTTCCAGTTGAATGTGAGGAAGAACTTGTTGACTGTGAGGGTGCCCGAGCCCTGGCCCAGGCTGCCCAGGGGGGCTGTGGAGTCTCCTTCTCTGGAGATCTTCACCCCCCGCCTGGACGCTGTCCTGTGCCCCCTGCTCTGGGTGAGCCTGCTTGGGTGGGGGGGTGGCACTGGGTGAGCTCTGAGGCCCCTTCCAACCCCGGCCAGGCTGGGATTTTGTGAAATCCATAGTTATCACGAACGTATTTGCTTCTGCTGTGGTTTTGCTGCTAGTCACGGGGTTTTCTTGAATTGTTTGGGTTGTTCTCAAATGCAAATATTGGAAAGCGTTTCAAAAAACATGAAAAAAAGTATATATTATCCAATTCACTTTGATAATTACCTCTTGGTTGTCCCAGTTTCTTCCTTTCCTGTTCCGTGCCAACGAACCCATCATTTCTACCAGCAATTAAACTGAAATATGTATTCTCAGTCTCTGAACTTTCAACCTGGTTGCTTTTAGGGCTGAAGTACTCTTTCCTTTTTGTCCCCTTCAGGTACCTACGCGACGAACGCGACGAGCTGGCAAGGTACGTGCTAAAAAACACCCCCCAAACCTCGTTTATCTCCGCGTCTTGGGGTGCCGTGCTCGGTCTCTCGAGTCAGCTGCGGCCTGCGGAGCTGTTTTCCAGCTCACCAACTTGCCTCCGCTCGGAAGTTGGCATGAAGTTTGCAACGCTGTGCTTTTAAACCGCTCCTCCTCCCCAATTCTTTTAATTGTTTTTACCTCGCTCTGTGATGGCGGAAAAGGAGCCGGGGGTGTTGGTCGCCAGGGGGCTGGATAGGAGGCAGCAGGGTGCCCAGGTGGCCAAGGGGGCCAGCGGCATCCGGGCTTGTCTCAGGAGTGGTGTGGCCAGCAGGAGCAGGGCAGGGAGCGTGCCCCTGTGCTGGGCACTGGGGGGGCCGCCCCTCGAGTGCTGGGGTCAGGGTTGGGCCCCTCCCTGCGCGAAGGAGCTGGGGGGGCTGGAGCGTGTCCAGAGAAGGGCAGCGGAGCTGGGGAGGGGGCTGGAGCCCCAGGCTGCTGGGGAGCGGCTGGGGG